CTTGGAGCCAGATTGGCAAACAACCATAGATAGCAGGAAGGAGGAACTGATAGAACATGCACGGGGACATTCTCTCCCCCTGGGAAGTTGGCAGAAGCAACGCTGTGGTTCAGCAAAAGAAATCTGTCTCCTCCATGTGGGAGTGAGGACCAGAGAGAGAGATCACGAGTGAGCAAGAGAGAGAGAGATGGAAGGAAGAGGAGAAGGAGCCCTAGGACTGTTCTGCTACTACCTCAAACCCCCAGAGAGGCCCCTGGCACCTGCCCAGCTTTGATCTCAGGAGAGCCGGATGCCAGCCCCCTGTGGCACTGGGACTGAAGGCACAGGTGGCCTTTGACCTCCCCCTGACACAGGAGACAGTGTTTGATTCCAGCCAGCCTGACCTCGCCTACCTTTCTAGACCCTCTTTTTTTCACCTGTGAAACTGGGCTGTATAACTGCTGGCCTTCCTGTGAAAAATCCCAGGACCCTAAGAAGAAGCGGCCCCAAAGATGTTCAAAATACAGGGGTTTTGTTACAGAGCGGAAATGGGCTTGGAAGGCCTTGTGCAAAGCCAAGCTCTGTCCAGTTGCTGTCCCTGACCGCCCGCCCCCTTACTGCCCAGTCTGCTCCAGTATCACCCCTGCATCACAGCATCCTGCTCTGGTCCCAAGTATGACCTGTCCACTACACTCCTCCCCCCCAACTCTCTCCCACCCCAGCTGCTTACACAGAACCCAGAGCCTTACCCAGAAACCTTGTCTAGCCAACTCTTCTTCACCTCAATCTCTAGCACCACAGGCTTAACTCAACTCTCTGTTCCCACCCCCCACCCCCGTTCCTGTGAGCCGAGGTTTCTGTCTCTATGTCTGGGTCTCTAGGGGCTCCGAGAAGCATGTCTCCACTGAATCTGAGCCCAGCCTTCATCTCCCTGGAATGAATGAATGAATGAATGAATGAAAACACACAATGATTCTGGCTTGATCCGATGCAGAAGCTAGGCATGACCTCCACTATCTAGCAGAACCTCTGGGGTCACCCACCCCCCTGGTCCTTCTTGTCCCAGATTTCTTCTGCATAGCAGAACCTCAGGGCAGGCCCATGTCCCTGCTCTGCCACCTGCCAGCTCTATAGCCTAGAGCCAGCCCTTTCCCTACTGAGCCTGGTTAACTGGGGACTTTACCAGTCTCTGCCTGTAGGGGGTGCACGTAACTTGGGTGCAGACATGCCCCTGTGCCTGGGCCTGGTGAGGGCTCACAGCGCCAGCTACTGAGGCAGCCTGGACTCCCCACCTCCCTTCCTCTGGCTCAGGGCCCTGGCCCGCCCTCACCCCCCAATTCTTTGTTGTCTAGTCCCAGCACACTTTACTTGGGGTATTTGCACACACCTGGCTCCAGTGTGCAGAGATGATCTCTGTCGTGGCGCTGGGGGTCCCACATAGCAGCGCTGCAGGGACCTCGCTCAGAGCACGTGACCCACCAGGGCTAGAGCCTGTAGTCACACACAGGCCAGGCAAACGCTTATCGCCACAGGGGCATCAGGCCATCTGGGTGTGGTTGGGGTTCCCAGGGAATTTCCTGATGCTTGGACGGCCAACCGCCAGCCCGTGCACTCATGACCCACAAACCCACAAAACTCACTCCCCGCCGCACCCCAGCTGACTGCCCTTCCATGGCTCGCCGCCACACGCCACACACCCCACATCTGCTCAGCCTTTCCCGGCTTTGCAACTATCCCGGGAGTGTGAATGGGGGAGGGAAGCGCAGCCATGGCAGCACGGGAGGGGGGCCTGAGCCAACACCTCCCCCCTCCTTGGTGTTTGAGGCCCAGCCAGATCTCACAAGGCGCAGCTGATGGGAACTGCAGTCAGTCGGAGAGAACTACAGCAGCTTTCAAGGCTGGCTCCTGTGGACTCCAGCAGCACCAGGGGGTAAAGGGAAGGAGGATGACTGAGTCCCCAGTACTGCCAGGCCCACCCTCCCAGCTCTCTGTTGTGTGGGCTATGCCATTCATTTGGCCCATAATGACACTCGCCACGAGGCTGAGCTGACCAAGGTCCTGCTGGTGAAAACCTGCAGGTGGCTCAGAGCACCAGGACACCCCTCTCCCTTCGCCTCCTTCCTCCGCTCCACATGTACTGTTGCCAAGATCAAGTCCAGACTCCTAGGAGTTCCCATGTGTCCATGTGGCTCTCATGGGCATGGTTTTTGTTCACTCAAAAATCAGCACCTCGGGGCTGGAGAGATAGCACAGCGGGTAAGGCGTTTGCCTTGCACGCGGCTGACCCGGGTTCAATTCCCAGATTCCCACATGGTCCCCTGCGCACCGCCAGGAGTAACTCCTGAGTGCAGAGCCAAGAGTAACCGCTGTGCATCGCCGGGTGTGACCCAAAAAGCAAAAAAAAAAAAAAAAAAAAAAAAAAAAAAAATCAGCACCTGATAGAAAAAGGACCAGTATGATTACTCTGGACAAGAACTGAGTGTTGAAAGTGGGTAAATATAGCACTGTAGCACTGTCCTCCCATTGTTCATTGATTTTCTCTAGCGGGCCCAGTAACGTCTCCATTGTGAGACTTGTTGTTACTGTGTTTGGCATATTGAATACGTCACGGGTATCTTGCCAGGCTTTGCCGTGCGGGTGTAGCTTGCCGGGCTCTCCGAGAGGGGTGGAGGAATCGAACCCGGCTCGGTTGAGCCAGCAGTTTGCAAGGCAAATGCCCTACCACTGTGCTATCTGTATTGCAACCCATAATGTTCAAAAGGAAAAAGAGAGAGACAGAGAGACAGAGATAGAGACAGAGATAGAGACAGAGAAGAAACATGTTTGCCATAGAGGTGGGGGCGGGGAGTGGAAGGAGGGAAATGGGATATCATGAAGAAAAATGTACACTGGTGAAGGATGGGTGTTGCAACGTTATATCACTGAATCATGAGCACCTTTGTAACTGTGTCTCTCACTGTGATTCAATTAAAATAAATAAAAATTAAAAATAAATAAAACAGCACCCCATATTCCCTGCTTCCCACTTTGAGCTAACTTACAAACTTCCTTCACATTCCACATTCTCTTATGACTTCAGGGTGTTCAACATATTGATATACAGATAGATTTTTGGTCAGTGAGCGACCAAAAATTAAAAAGAGTGAAGGACAAAGATTCTTGCCTTCCTGAGCTTACCTCCTAGCGGGGGGAGATGATGGATATAGCTGACTGCTTTGAGGGGCTGAGGAAAGAGCCAGAACGAGAGGCTCGGCTCAAGAATACAAAAACCAGGTGGAGGGGGCGGCAGGAGAGAGCAGGGTGTCAGTGTAAATCAGCTTAGAAGGTGAGGAGCTTTCTCTCACGGGAGCTGGAGAGATAGGACAGTGGGGAAGGCACTTGCCTTGCACACCGCTCACCCCGGGGCCTGAAGACTGATCCCTGAGCATGCTTGGTGTTGTCTCCAGAGGAAAAAAAGAAGGTGAGATTCCAGAGGTGGGACTGGCCACGTGTGACCGCTCCCCCTTCCCGGAGGGAACTGGCAGGGAGTGGCCGCAGGAGTGGGGTGCTGGTGTAAGGGACAGTGGGAGGTCAGGGCAGTGGCAAGGAGGAGTGCAGGAGAAAGTTGGGAAGCTGAGGTCCAGGAGGGCAGGTGTGGGGTCTGCGAGCATGGGAAGGAGCATTAACGCTCGGGGGCTAATGGGGACCCGCCAAGGGTGTGAGCTGAGGAGTGACGCCGTCACCTACCAGGCATGGGGCCGGCCAGCTCTTGTGCTGGCAGCTCTCACGTCCAACAGTGGCAGCTAGAGGATGGTTAGAATGGTCCAGTCGCCCACGTGTGAGGTGATGGCGGACACCACGGGGGTGAGACGCAGTCAGAGGCTAGCTTCTCCCCCTCTTGTTTATTTTTTTTTAACACGTACACTTTGCTGAGCTTTTAAAAACACACAATCTAAATATATTCCGAAGGTAGTGCCGACAGATTGAGTGTGGGAGGTGAGCTGTAGGAAAGGGTCATGCAGGTTGCTGGAGGCCGGGCGGAGACGAGCCTCTTGAGGAGAGTTGGGTGGCAGAGCTTGTGTCCAGCCACCTTCTGTCCCTCCAGCGGGAGACCCTGCGCACCCCAGGTGTCTCCCAACTCCTTCCAGTGCTCAGAGGAGCTGACAGAGCGCAACATCCCCACCCCCACCCCCAGGAAGCCCTGTCAGACCTCCCAGAAGTTCCCAGGGTTCTTGTCCCCCAAATCAGCCTCATGACCAGCATTTCCTGGCGATCAGTTGCCAGGAACTGACCTCTGCAACTGACCTCTCTGTTCCCCCTGGTCTGAGAGTGACACGGTGTTTGCTGTGTCTTTGTTCTCCAGAAAAGGAAAACCAGAAAGTCAGAATCCACCCAGGTCAGATCACTCTCGTGTTTATTAGCATCAAACTCGGAGGAAAACCAGGGGTTGGGAAGTACAGGCAGTTGGGGTCTCTCCCATGGCCTTTCTCCACTTCTTTGGCATTCTGGACCCTGACATTCAGTGACAGCAGTGAGTCATGCTGACGTCTCCTGAGAGGTGAAAATGGGGACACGCTTTTCCAAGGGAGGGCTTTTAGAGGCCAGAACTCGGGCAAATGAGAAACTAACTCCAAAACCACTTTGTGGGTGCTTCATGGAGGGCCACGAGCCCCTTATCCAGGATGTCTGCTTTGCTCCCAGTCGGAGCTGGGTTTGGGATCTATTGCTCAAATCTACTTTTCATGTGGACGCTGTGGGGGAGGGGGCATGGAGAACAGACCCTGTGCTTCCCCTTCCAGGACACTGGCTGGGAAGGGCGAGACATTCCTTGGCCAGTGTGTTCTGTTGTTTCTCAGCATGCACTGCTCTCAGGGGCATCTCGTTCTGTCTGTTCGAGGTGCAGGGCTATTGTCTTTTCCTATAGCTGATGTCCAGCACTCCCAGTGCTGAGTGACAAAGGAGCACCCTAGGCCCAGGACAGAAGTGAGAACTGCAGGGACTGGAATCTACTGGAGATGGGAGGAGCTTTTCCACAAGAGGGTCCCAAGGCAGGGGCTGGCCGACAGGTGACCCGCGGCTGCCCTAGCACAGAGATCGCTTTGTGCCACAGTAGGGCCGGCTGGAGAACTGGGTGAAGCTCTTCTTATAGGTGGGCAGGTTCTCTCTGAAGCAGTACACAGACCGCTTGTCACACTCGCAGGCCCTCAGCCCACACAGGCAGCCGCTGACGCTGAGGCCCAAGGCACATTCACCTGCAGAGACACACAGGGTCACTCAGTTCCCATGCTACCCATCCCTGGGATTGAACTCTAAGGCTGGGGACAAGACAGTTATTGCAATGAGGTGAAGAACTGAAAACAGTGAAAAGAGAAAGGAATGAAGCTGGGAGGCCTGGGAGGTAGGGCAGGAGTTTGGCCCATGCCTTGCACGCCCCTCATTCAAGTTCTATCCCCGGCACTGCACAGCCTTACCAGGTGCAGTCCTGGAGGTCCCCAGATTGCCAGGTGTGGCCCTGGAGACTCCAGCACGGCCAGGTGTGGGCCTGGTATTTCCTGATACCACACAGTCTGAGCAGCGATATATCATTAGGCCCTAGCATGGAACCACCTTTGCACCCAAATAAATAAAACTGGAGTCTCTTCTCCCCAAGCCCTTCCCCACTCTCATGAGTCACCTGTAGCGGCCACAGAGCGCGCTTCTTGGGCTAAGGCCAGGCCACACAGCGAAGCCTGTCGCTCCCGCCTCTCGTCCCCTGCCACTTTACTATGGTCAGCAGGACTCAGGACATCACTGGCCCTTCTGCTCACCCAGCAGGACCTGCACCCACACCCTTGCTCTGCAAAGGCGTCCCTCCTACTGAAACTTTCAGGCAGGCAGTTGCCCGATGCCCCCCCTACCTGTGCTCCCCACAGCCAGCCCCCAGCAGTCACGCTCTCCCCTCTGCTCCCTCGGCTCAGCCGCTGCCCAGTCCCATCACTGTGGGTTCTTCCATGAACCTCCTTTTCTGTTTCTTCTTATGGTAGAGGCTATACCAGTGGCATGGGGAACCCAGGAACACTCTTGGTGAGGCTCCAGCCAGTAGTATTTGGGGCCCACCAGGATTACCCCTGGTGGTAAACTGGGTGATTCTCTGAAGGGGGGCTCCCCAACACTCCCCAGGGGCCCTGGAGCCCAGGAACCTGACGGTTTGGTGCCTCAGGCCATCAGTGTGATGTTTCTCAGGCCGAGGAACTATGCCTCGTAGTGCCATGGCTGAGGATAGGACCATGTAAGGGGACCTTTGTCAGGGGCCAAAGGACAGGCAAAGGGGCCCAGCACACACAAAGCCTGGGCTGTGATCCTCGAACCATCTTTCTGCTCAACTGGGTGCTTGATAAGAGAAAAACAGGATCAGTTTCACTCTCCTTCTCAAAGCCCTGCTGTGGCTTCTGCTCTCTGGAGGAGACAGTCCAAGCTCTTGTCGTGAGGCCCAGTGCAATACTACAGCAGGCATGGCACTTGCTTGGACCCAGGTTCAATCCCTGGGATGCCATATGGTCCCCCGAACAGGAGTAATTACACCTCCAGGAGTAATTTCTGAGCACATGACCCAGAGTAACTCCTGAGCATTGCCAGGTATGGTCCCAGGAAACACAGATTATTGCCGTGAGCCCCAAAGCAGACTTGTCTTGCCCTGCCTTGACCAGCTGCTCCTTCCTCATGGCTCACCACCCTCCCCCAACTATGCCAGGCATGCCCACCTCGGCCTATGCCTCATGTCTTCCTCGGCCCTACCCCAGAGCCTGCGCTGTTCTCTCCGCCTAAAACACTTCTCTCCAAGGTCTTCAAGGGGCGGAAGGCATCCCGCTTATTGGCTCGTGGTAAAAATCTCTTCCTGACTTCCTGATCTAAAGTTCCCTCTAGGTCAGGCACTCTCCTTGCATGCAGCTGACCCCGGTTCAATCCCCAGCAGAGCCTTTGCCTGTCCCCCCAAATCCCGCCAGGGGCCACTCCTGAGCCCAGAGCCAGGAATAACCCTGAATATCACCAGGTGTCACCCAAACACTCTCCTCCCCAATTCAACAAAGTAAATCAAGTTCTCTCTCTCTCTCCAGCCACCCTTCCTCACACCCCGCCCCTCCCCTGCCCTTTACTTCACTCAAGCTTTCCTTTCCATGACCTCGTGTTCTCTTTATCTACTTGCCTGGCCCTGTGTCTTCTCTATAGAGTGTAAGCCCTACAGTGAGGCAGTGACTTGTCTGTCCTGTCCATCAGGATCACAGGCAGCATCCAGAACAGGTGCTCAGGGTGGGTAAACCTCCAGGGCCTCTGGGAACAAGTGTCTGCCCTTTGACTGAGTCACCACTAGGCGGCGCTCTCCAAACCAGAGGGCAGCGCTCTAGCAGGTTAAGGCACAGCGCCCTCAGGCACAGCATCCCTCACTAGATGGGGACTTCACAGCAGTTCCGCTCTCCTTGGAGGCGCTGGCGTGAGGATGGGAGGCAACCAGATACCCAGGGCTGGCGTTAGTTAAGTCAACTTCGGGCTTGGCATTTACAAAGCAGTGAGATGCATAAACGCTCCAAAAGCAAGCAGGGCTCTTGCGTTGTTTGCCAAGGAGTGACCAGGCTGTGCCCAGCACGGACAATGACCTGGGGGGCTGTGGGGTAGGAGGGGGGTGATAAGGAGGGAGCCTGGACTTGCCAATCTGGAGAAAGATACCCCCTCTTAAGTCGGCCCCGTGCTGGCTAGAAAGCCTATTTGTTTCCCTCCCTCCCTCTCATGCGTCCACAGTTCCCCCATGCTGTCCGCCCACGTCTCCTTGGTGACTTGATTTCTTAAGACATGCCGACACCCACCCTCCGCTCCAGCTGCACCCTCCACTCAGCCCCAGGAAGTGTGCTGGGGTGTTCACGCCTCTGGCCTCAGTGCCTGCCTCGCGCGCTATTTATTCCGGGAGCCTGGAGCACCTTTGGCCTCCCACTCCCCCCTCACCATCTGTGAGAACCCTGCATGATCCAGCTCCCTCAGGAAGCCCCTGGAGGGCCTCTCTCCCCTGCTGCCTCAATCCCTCACTCGCCTCCGCTGACCCCGGCCCCGCCCGAGAGGCTGCAGGGGTCTACCAGGACCCACTAGCTCTTCTGAAGGGTCCTCGCAGGGTCAGGCCCTCTGGGCTGGAGGGTTCCCATGCCATTCATCCAACTTTGTTCTCCTCCCCACAGGGGCTGGCCCATGCGTGGTCATACCAGCTGTGACCTCTCTAGAGGCCTACAGGTTACACATTCTACCTGGGCCACCCCCCTGCCTTTTCTCTGCCCCTTCCTGCTCTCTCATCACTATCTTTTGCTCCGCTTCTTTTTTTTAAGGACCGTACTCCTGGCTCTGCACCCGGGAACTACTCCTGGCAGTGCTCAGGGGACCATATGGATTGCTGGGGACCGAACCCAGGTCTGGCGCATGCAAGGGAAGTGCATTACCAGCTATGCTATCGCTCCAGCCCCCATCTTCTGCCCCTCTCAGCGTGGTCTTTCCCTTCTCCTCTTCCTTCCCCTCGCCTCCCTCCCCCTTTCTGGCTTAGTCTTTGGTGCTTCCCAATGCCATGTTCTCTCCTGCCAGTCAATGCTCCTTCTGGCAGCGGGTTCCATCCCCGAGCCTCCTGGAGCTGTGAAAAGAAAGACCGAGGCTGGAGAAAGGCCATCTTTCGACACCACCTTTGAAATCCTGTCAAACTCCAGGTCCCACCTCTTCTATTTTGCTAATGGAAAAACTGAGGCACAAAGGGAGGACTTGACCACTTCTGAGTATCCTTCATCCTTTCCTGAAAGACTCTCAAATGAGGAGGCCAAGCCAGGAGGCCAAGCCAGGAGGCTGAGCTGCCAGTCTGCCTAGCCAGGCTCCTCCAGGGTGCCCGACACCCCTCCCTCCCAGTTCACCTGTCTGCCTTGAGCTCGGATTCTTTAGCGTGTGTCCAGCTGATCCCACCTCGGGGGTGCTGAGAGACAGCTCACCTGCAAGGGGCCCCAGTCCCAGCATCCCCCATCGGGGCCAGCCCGGCAGACAACGAGGTTCTCTGGCTGCTTTAGGCTTCACTCCCCTCCTCCGTCAGCAGATCCTCTCATTCGCATCCAAACAGACCCAGCAGCTGATGCGTCCCTCCACTTCCTCAGCCCCATCCCAGCCGGGGCCACGTCTCCCACTGCCCCTGAAACAACCCCCACGCCTCTGTTGCTCCTGGCCTTCTCTGCTGCGTGGCCGCCTGACTCTGATAAGCCAAGGGTGAGCATATACTCCTCTCCTGCTTACAGCATTGGAGGGGACCCCTTGACTGCAGGGAAGGCAGGTCCTCCACCAATCCACCCCACCACCCCACACTCTGCCCTGGTGCCCAGCAGCCTCTGCATACCCTCCCAAGCCCTCTGCTCGCCCCCCATCGCCGCCCCCCAAGGCCTCGGGAACAAACCATCTCCTGAGAGAGGCCTTCCTCCATGCTTAAAGCCGCTTTCCTTCCCAGCCCTGGCACTCATCATTCTTTTTTCAGCAACATGTCCCTCCCTGAAAGTACTATATTTTATGGCTCGGCTGGGGTCTCCAGCTCTTCTGGACAATGGGGCTGCTTCACCACGACTGACCCCCTCCACCTCAGACACATAGCAAACACTCAGTCCCTACCAGCCACTACTGGCCACTTGTCCCTGGACACAGAGAAAAGGCTCTGTCCCTGTGTGACGAACACCCTGGCCGGCCTGATATGGCCCATGGGGGCAGCAGAGGAGCCCTCCCCGGAAACAGGGACCCAGCTCTCCTCCCAGCTGTGCTTCCTGCAGACTTTAGGGGCCCAGGCAAGGATTTTCTCTTCTCCATGCCTATTTCCTCACAAATAGGGGTGGGGGGGGCCTTTTGAGATGCCCAGGATCGAACCTGGGTTGACCACTTGCAAGGCAAACACCCAACCCACTGTGGTTTCATGCCGGCCCCATTCTGCACAACTCTTCCAGGCCTTACCCATTCATCCCCTCACCAGAGACTGAGTTCCTAGCACGTGCCTGCCCCCCGGAAGGAAACTGGGGGTACAGATCTGAGCATACCAACCCCATGCTGCGTAGCTCCAGGGGCCCCAACGCCGCAGGCTCTCTGGGAACAAGGACCCTGCTCAGATCCCTGCTCCCTGCTCTCGGCTACTGATCTCATATCCCGCTTGGGAACACAGGACACATCAACAAGCAGTACAGGAGGTGGAGACACAGGCCAGGAGAGAAAGAGGGGGGCATGTCACAGAGGAGGGGCTATGAGGAACAAACGAGGGGCAGAGGGAGAAAGACTTCTGCACAAGACCCTCTCTAGGGGGTACCATTTTCAACCCAGTTAGTTCCCTTGGGCAGCGGGGGATGCCAGAGAGTCCGAGATGGAGGGGACAGTGGCACCTGCTGATTGGAACCCTGGTTGGCCTCCCACGCCCCGTGCCACCCCCCACAATACATGTACGGATGTGTGGGTGCCGTGGGGTGGCACAGCTGGCTGATCTTAAAGTCCCTTGCAAATGTCACATACTTACATAAGTCCCCTCAAAGCAGGAATCACAACCTCACTGCCAGAGGGTAGCCTTTACTCTCCCCCGCCTCCCCATCTTAGAAAACTGGCCTCTGGGCTTGACTTCCAGAACCTTCTCTGTACTGATCTTCCAGGGACCTTTAGAGACAGGGAGGGACCAGCTGCTCCCCCCACCCCGTCCTTGCCTGTTCACCACATGCACCCCAGCAGCCACTAGCTGCTAGGCAACCTGTGCAAGATTTCAGAAGGCTCAGCTGGGTTAACCCTCGCAGGGAGGACAGCCCTCAGCCACGCCGTGACAGTGATGGGGTGGGGAGTCCAGGCAGAGACCTTTAACTCTTTAAACAATTAACAGCCTGAGATGGGGTTGGAGGTGGGGGCACCGTAAATATATTGGAGATGCCTCCAAGAAATCCCGCAAGCACAATAAAGAAAATAAAAATGGATGCTTCTCTACCAAAGAAAGGAGAAAAGAAACTCAGAGGGAGCAGGACCCCCCTGGAAGACTGTTGGCTCGGCTCTGGCTGGAGGCCTGCAGGTGACAGCTCAGGCAGGTGGGCAGGAGACAGTGCGGGATGGTCCTTTCCCCACCCACGTGCCCACCGCCCTCCACAGCACCCCTGTCTTCCTCCTCAGGCCTGGGGGCTCCGAAAGGGGGTTGCTAGAAGCAGCAAGACACACTTGGTCCTTGAAGACTGCTGCCCAAAGGCCCATCCATTCAAACCATTGGCTCCACTGGGCAGGCCCCTGAGCCTCCAGGGTCCCTGGTCTTCAGGACACTCTGTCTCTGATCATGTGTAGGGTATTGGGAGCCAGCCCTGCTTTGCTGGACTCTTGTCCCCTTGCTCACTCTCACCCTTCATCCTCTTCCTCAAACAGCTTCCGCTTTCTGGCCTCACCTATTTATTCTGCTGTCTCCCATGGTGCCTATCACAGTGTTCGACATGCATCCACCCTTGACAAATATTGGTGCAACTCTTATTAACACATGACAGATCTAAGGAGGAATGTTCCCAAGAGCCACCGTTGCCAAGCGAAGCTGCAAGGCTGGAGGTAGCCTCCAGGCAACACCTATTTACTGAGCACCTACTACGCCCCCCTCCCGCCCCCCAGGCCTGGATGAGTCACCAGGAGGCAGGACAGACCAGGGAAGAGAGCCAGGACTCCAGCTCTGACCACTGCAACAGCTGCTCCCCTTCGGAGGCACTTGGAAAAAAACTCTGGGTTCAAAGCATTTCCCTCCAGGCTACTCACAAAACACAGAGCCGTTGACCAGGTGGAACTGGTAGTTGTTCAGCACAGGCTGGCAGCCGCCCTGCTTCAGCTTCTCATAGCAGCAGTCATGGGTCTGGCAGCACCTGGAGCCAGACAGGAGAGACACAGGCTTGACCTGGGGCGGGCACCAGGGAAAGAGACTGAGCTGAGGAGAGCACTTAGGTGCAGGAAGGCAGGAAGTAATCCCCGGCAGAGTCAAAGATTACTAAGGGGCCAGAGAGGGAGGGAGAGGGGGTGGGGGGGGGGAGAGAGAGAGAGAGAGAGAGAGAGAGAGAGAGAGAGAGAGAGAGAGAGAGAGAGAGAGAGAACTGAGGCTAAAGTGCTTGCCTTACACCCAGCTGACCCCCCAAAGCACTGGAGGAGTGACCCCTGAGCACCATCAGGTGTGGTCCAACCTCCTCTTCCCACCAAATGATAGAGAATAAGGTCTCACTATCAGTTTCAATCTTCTTTGCCCCTCACAAACCCTTGGAAGTGAGAACTGTCCTCTCCATATAAGGGAGAAAGGAGCGGTCACTGCCAAACTAATGAGAGGTCCACTTATTCATTCATTTATTCATGACTTTTCACTGAGCACCTACTACATGCCAGGCTCTGTAAGATTCTCAGAGGAGACCCATTCGATAACAATCATGCACTCCATGCAGCTTTGCTCTTACAAAGCTCTGCTCAGATTTGGGGTGTGTGTGTGTGTGTGTGTGTGTGTGTGTGTGTGTGTGTGTGTGTGTGTGTGTGTGTTGGGGGATCAGGGTGGAACAAGAAGAGAGAATGTGGAGCTGGAGCGATAGCACAGTGGGTAGGGCATTTGTCCTGCACGCGGTTTACCCGGGTTCAATCCCCAGCATTCCATATGGCTCCCAAGCACCACCAGGAATGATTCCTGAGTGCAGAGCCAGGAGTAACCCCTGAACATTGCTGGGTGTGGCCCAAAAAGCAAAGAAAGAAAGAGAGAGAGAGAGAGAAAGAGAGAGAGAATGTTTTGAGGAAAGGGGAAGCATGGGGTGTTGAGGGAAGGGTCTAGAATTTAAACAGGCAAATTCTTGTTACATCCTGACATCATCACTTAGGAGTTTCATGTTTTCATGTTGGGGGCTTTGGTGGGGTGGTCCTTGCTGTCTTCGCCCATCAGAGAGGAGTGAGCACTGGCTGGGCCACTGTAAGGATAAAAGTAGGTTCTGCGCAAGTGTGTCCAGGTGTCTGCAGTAATGAGGGTGTCAGAAGTATCAGTTCCCCTCCAGGGCCCTGAGGTCCTTAGGTTGGAATATTCCATGGTCTCCTGAGCCCAGTTTGGAGGAATCAAGCTCCAGGAGTGATATTTAAACCGCTCTGTCAGGCTGACTTATCCACCCCAGCATGAAAGTGGACTATTGACATTCTCTGATGTACAGATGATGAAAGGGTCCACAAATGCCGTGTGGCACACCCTAGACACCACCACCTACACTTCTTCCAGGACCCTGCACTCCCATTCCCTCCCAGCCTCCCATGAATGTGAGGGCCTGGGACCAGGTCTGTGCCTCATGACCCCATCCAGTTTGGATATCTTTTCCCTGACTCTCTCCCAGAACATCCCTGCATCTGGTCCTGGAGACAGTGAGTAGATCTGCAAGTGTCTACAACACTCCACCTTGGTGAGCTGAGAAATGGGCACATTCTCCATGGGGTCTGGAAATTTGGAAAGGTTTGCAGCACTTTGAACTGAACTCACTACAGAATTGTTGAGGCCTGGCGTTTAAAAACAAACAAACAAAAACAAACAAAAATCCCCACTCCTTCTTCAAATGCCATAAAGTATGGGGGGTCAGGGGTGGAAGTAGCTCCCCAGTCAGGGGTACATGCTTTGTATACACAGGGACCAGGCACCACATGGCCCCGCAGCCCTGTTGGGTGTGGCCCTGAGGATGTGTACATTGAGTTGTCCAGCCTGGTTGGCTGAGTGTAGCCAAAGTGGCTCAAGTTCCCTGAGCACTGCTTGGGAAATTCCATAAAAGGAACTTCCAGTCTCTGACAGTGATGGCCAAGCAACAAGTCCCCATGTGGCTCCCAGGAAAGCCACTGTCCAGGCCCCACATTCCAGAAGCTAGGGAATTGCTGTGCTGGGCTCCTCAGGGCCCACCCTCTGATCGCCCTTCCCTCGCCCTCACTGGAGGGGCTTTTGGACACATGTGTGTAAGAGCCCCTGACGCTCCCTATTGCTTTAAGCCAGAGCCCAGTGCAGAGGGGTGACCCGTGTCGATAGGTAGCCTGGGGGGCCCTTCAATCACCTGTCAGTGTTATCCACAGGGGTCCCTTTGCCTCCGAGTCCACAGTAGCAGCCGTATCCGTAATAGGAGAAGGCGTTGCGCCCCGTGACAAGTTTGACCATCCTCTGAAGCTGCCAGAAGCTGCCATGGGTGGGGCCCAGCACTGCCAAGGAGAAAACAGAGAAGAGGACAGGATGCCCTGGCACTCCCAGCTGAGAGCACTTAATGCGGGAAGAGGGTACCCTGCTGGCAGTGCCCACACAGCTGGGGTCCTCAGTGTCTGCAGCGAGGAATGGGTGAAGGTCCCATTTACTCGACCTCTGAGTGACTCATCCTTGGATCCGACAACAACAACAAAGAATAGGGCGTAAATCACAAAGGTACAACAAGAACAGAACAAGCGAGCAAGTCTGCTCAGGTTACTTGAACAGAAACAGGGTCACAGAAACAATTAGTGAATGTCTGCGTGGAAATTAAATTATATTCATCACTGATTGTGCCAATTATTGCACGTGTGAGCAACCACTGTACATGCTTAATAATGCCTTTTGTAAGGGACACAGAAAAGGTCTGGGTGAACCGTACTCGGGACTTGACCCTTTTTGACGGCAGCCAGGCTGAGCTGGCACGCATAAACTGAGGGCCCTCCTTCTTGTCTCTCCAAGTGCCCATCTGTTTTCTGATCAGATTTCTGTAACACTTGAAGTTACAGGATGGGAACCCAGTGTCCGTGACGCTCAGAACAATGCAGTTCCCTACAGTGGACGAGAGAAGAAAACTGCCACCTGAGGTGAAGACCACTTTTGGGGTCTGAGACAAGGCAAGTGTGGTTCCTACAAATACCATCAGGCCTTTACCAACTCATGGGTAAGCACAGATGTGTCAGGGACAACAGACGCTTCCATTCATGGAGCCAGTGATTTTCACTAATGCCCAGGAAAGCGGGGGCAGGGCGCGGGGCGGCTATGTATACACAAGGATGTTTGTTGCAATAGCATTTGTGATATCAACAAACGGGAACGCCCCACCTGTGCGTTGACAGGGGATAATCACTGAGTGATGCCTTGTAAACATCCCGCCTCTAACTGCAGTATCTCCAGGCAATGAATTTGGAGTAGGTGGAGAAGAAAAAAAAAACAACAGCATGAATTTCGCATCCTATCATGCTGTCTGATTTCTCTTTTGCAATGAACCGTATTCCTTCTCTATTAAATTGGTGTGTGTGTGTGTGTGTGTGTGTGTGTGTGTGTGTGTGTGTGGTGTAAATTGTAAATCTTAGGAGTATCTACAACGAGGAAAAGCAAAGACTTGCAAGACTTTTCAGGCAAAGGTCTGGAAGGAGGAAGGATGAGCAGGAGTTTTCCACATCACACTCACTTATTTTACTTTTCTTTATGAGCATATATTTTGCCATAAACTGAAAACAAAAGATGGAACTTTAGAAAGAAAACTGGAGTTGAGGGTCCCCTCTGAGACCACGGCTTTGGGGATGGGGGCATGGAGAGAGGCTGCTTGGAAACCCCAGGGAGCTACAGAAGACTGTACATGGTCCCCTACCCTGCTCCCCAACACTGCCCCCCTCATGAGCTGAAAACTACAAATTCCATCACTCACAGGGAAAAGGAGTCTTATTTTTGCCATGTTGACCTGGAACCCAGTAGTATTTCTACCCAGCTAAAAATTCTACTCCAGGAATCAAACCCAAGAGTCCAAGACTTTCCCATCAGCCCCAGCATTGCTTCCGCTTGGGTCTGTAGGACCAGCTTAAGTCTCCAGCCACACTGCAGAAGAAACAGCGGCATCTCAGGAGCATCACTCCAGATGTCACTGGAACACACATAGCAAATTAAATAAAGGCAATCAGCATCCAAAAGGAAAAAAAGACAGCCCCTCACGTGTGCATGTGTACACACGTGCATGTGCATGTGTGTGGTGACAGGTGGTCGTCTGATGCCCTCTCTCTTCCTGGATGGTGAGCAGCTTGGGGTTTTCAGGAAGTTTCCTGAGTTCCCAAGACTGGGACCAGTCCCAGTTTTGCAGGACAGAGAGAGAAGGACAATTGGGGGAGCCTGGGCACTCCAGAGAGGGCAGGGGAGGGGGTAGCCCTGAGCTCACCCCCTCTTCCTTCATCACTTACAGCAGGAGATGAAGATCACCAGAAGTCCAAGGGCCTTCATTCCCATGGAGACGGGGGTCCAAGTGTCACACTCAGAGTCCCGTCAGCTTGCTGGGTGAGCCAAAAGAACTCCTGTTCAGAGGAGACAGGCCCAGAGTGAGGCAAGGCGGCGTGGGTGGGAGAGCCCCAGCTATAGTAGCAGCCCCAAGAGCTGAGGAGGATCCGAGCAGAGAGCCCCTTCTTAAGTTGAGTTAGCACTCAGTACTGTGCCTTTCCTATGTGTGGACCTCAGTGTGTGGACAAGTAGAAGGGTCCCTTGTTCAAAAGGTTTAAGTATGGTGTTTTGCTTTTAATAAAATATATATATATATATATATATATATATATATATATAGAGAGAGAGAGAGAGAGAGAGAGAGAGAGGATGCTCGGCCCAAATTTTTTTGGACAAACTGACAGGTTACTGAATGTAGCCTGCCCACACGGCAGAGTCTGGCAAACTCCCCGTGGCGTACCCAATATGCCAAATACCAGTAACAATGATGGGTCTCATTCTCCTAAAGAGCCTTGAATATAATCTCAGGGCTAGGATGAAGGAGACGTTACTGGGGCCTGCTCGAGGCAATCGACGAATAACAGGATGATTTGTGATTTGTGATATATATATATATATATATATATATATATATAGAGAGAGAGAGAGAGAGAGAGAGAGAGAGAGAGAGAGAGAAGGGAAGCCTGGAGAGCTAGTACAGTGGGTCAGGCACTTATTCTGCATGAGTTGATCCATGCAGAATCCTTAGTATTCCATATGATCCCCTGAGTCCCACCCAGAAGTGATGCTGAAGTGCAGAGCCAGGAGGACGCCCAGAGGATGAGTATGGCCCAAAAAACAAACGAATTGTTTTAATTTCTTATTCGGCAACATTATCCACTCACTACTACCTCTCTCTCCCCTGTCTCTCTCTGTCTCCCTATCTCTCAGTCTCTGTCTCTCTGTCTCTCTGTCTCTCTCTCTCTCTCTCTCTCTCTGTGTCTCTCTCTCTCTCATATATATATCACTAGGGATAGAACTCAGGGTGCCATATATGCAAGACAAGTATCCTTCCGCTGAGCCCCATCCCCAGACCTTATTCATTCTCCCCTCCCCTCCCCTCCCTTCAGGGGCTCCATATTTCCTGGTTTCTCAGTTTGGTTCACAATGGAAATCCAGGTCAGGAAGGCCTGGCCTGTGGGCCTGATAGTCGACTGCCCACCTACACCACCTCTTCCCATAGATTCTTCCCGAGATCCCAGGGTTCATAGCCATTGACTCAGTCTGCCTGCTTCCTCTCCTAGAAAGCCAAACTGAAAGTACCTGTTTGTCATTTCAAATACTTACTAAGAAATGCCTAAATCCCAGGGCCTATTTCTTTAAGCCCATCGGGGCCTTCCATCTATTACTTCATCCTCAGTAACTCCAGAGACTTGGTTATCATTTCAAAGATGGAGAAACACAGGCCTAAAGAGTTGGAACAGTGTCCTCAGAGAGCAACCTCCTCCCCGGGGTCTCCCAGTTTTATCCAAGTAAAACTGCTCAGTTCCATGAAGTGAGGTCCCAACTGTGAACACGGCAGCCACCTCAGGGGGCTGGGCTAGACAGTCCCAAGGGTCACGAACACCCACATACCTTAGTCAGCTGCTCTCTCTGGGTTTTGTTTGTTTGTGTTTAGTTGTTTCAGGGAGGGTCTCCCATATGATGCTGGGGACCTAGACGACTCCACCACAGGGTGCTCAGAAGGCCACACAGTTCCAGAGCTCAAACCTGGGGCCCTGTGAGCCCTTTACACCCCCCTGCCCCACGGCTGGTCTTTCTGCTTCCTGCCCTGACTCGGGCCAGATCCAGTCAGCTCAAGGCTTAAAGCTCAAGCTCAGCTGAGCTCTGGGATGTGGCTGAATTAGATAGCGCTTTGGCTCCCTTGATACCTAATGGTCAAGTTTCCCAGGAACACCTCAGAACAGTCACCCTGGGAGAGCTCAGCTGCTTTGGCTAGTGACTATTTTTGCTGCTGGCACAATTCTGGTGCAGATTGTCTGCCTAGGGCCCCTCCGTGGGCTGGTCCCGGCCGGTCTGCCTTTGAAGCGCTGCTGCTTCCGCTGCTAATGAGTTCTCATCACTCCAGGCTGGCTCTGCCAGGCCATGAGGAGGGGACTCACAGCTCGCAGACATTCAGGGCTCTTTGGAGACACAGAAGGGGCCTGAGTTCACAAGAAAGTGGCAAGGACGTCAATTAAGAACCAACTTGGAGAGGGGTCCTCTAACAGACAAGACCCAAGTTCTTAAAGGACTGTGGACTAGTGGAGAGGCCAACGTCTCATGTGGCAGAAATGCTGCTTGCTTGACCCCTGTTTCCTGGGTCCTTGGAACACTCCTTGGCAAGTCACCCCCAAAGGGACAGGCCCCAGCTGCCCTGACTCTTTTCTTCCCTGAGAAATGCACAGATTAGGTGCTGTGAGGTTCTGGCCTTCCTCATGCAGGGAGGCAGTAGCCCCTAGCAATAACCTGGTTGGGGTGATAACTTTAAGGAACATTCCTCACCTCTTTCAGGACAGGTCAGCAAGGCACCACCCAGCCCCAGAGTTGCCTGGAAGACCAGCTCCTCATGACCTCAGCAACTTCCTCTGAGTATCAACTCCCCTCCTGGAGTTTGCTTCTTTCCAATATTTCATTTCTCTTCTGGACCCTCCCTACAACACTCCTGTCTGCCAAGAGCCCATATTCCAGGAGGCAAGTCTAAGCCCATGGACAGTGATGAGCCTGGGTTTGGGGTTGTGCAAATGAAGGCTTTCATGCTCCAGGGAACCAGCAAGAAACTCATCTCTCAAAGCAGGTGGCATTGGAGGCAGTCTTGAAGCACTCAAATTGTACTCCACTCCAGTTTACGTCTTACTATAATCCCATCAGCAGACCCTCACTCCTCACTTGGATAATAAAGGAAACCAAGGCTCAGAGAAGACCAACTGCTAATCAAAGATCCACCCAGAGACCACACGACAGGGCAGGATTCCAACTCTGACCCCTGACTCCAGATCCAACATTCTTTCTACCACACCCTGCGCTCCCTGGAGCTCTGGTATGCAGGTGCCACATCCAAGGTGGCAGAACAACATTTCGGCAGACACCAACCATAATGGCTCTGAATTGAGCGAGCCAAACACTGCTCTTTCTTCGCTCTTTTCTTTTCTTTCCTTTTCTATTTTTGGAATCATACCTGGCAGTGCTCAAGGATTATTTCTGTCTCTGTACTCAGGGATCATCACTACAAGGGGACCATAAAGGGCATTGGGGATACAACCCAGATTGGCAACATGCAAGGCAAATGCACTAACTGCTGTACTATCTCTCCAGACCCAAACTTGGTTCTTTCTTGCCACTTGAATGCTTGTTTTGAGAGGGGAGCTTAGATGTGAGGCTGTGAAGAGTGAGTTTGAATTGGACAGAACCAAAACCAAGAACACAGCATCAGAGGCCCAGGCACATGAGATAGGTAGTGCGTCCATTCAGGCCTGTAGGGCAGTAGCCTACAGGATGATTGGTCCCTGCAGGCCCCTGTGATTCACATGCCATCAATCTTGCTTAAACATGGATGAGCCATTGGTGGCCATTTCTACACTTGAAGGAAAAAAAGACAGAGTCTGCAAGCTACATTAGCTGCAATTATCTTTGTTTTGTTTGCTTCTCTCTTTTGTTGTTTTTTATTTTTTGTTTGGTTTTTTGTTTGTTTGTGTTTTGGGGCCCCATGCCACAAGCCTGACAGCATTAGGGACACAACACTGGCCACTGACAGAGGCACCAAAGTCTGGAGTCACTTGTTCTAAAAGAAATGAATGCTCTTTAGCGATAACTGCTAAGAAAATGAAGTTATGGCCTTGAGCCCAGCCCCGAGGGAGGCCATTTAACTTCCAGTCAGATATCCTTGGAGGCATTATACATTGGAAGCTTGCTGGATCTCTCCATGGACAAGTCAGCTTGGAACCAACATCAGCATCCGTTGAATTATCACTTGCTGAGCACTCACCACCAAGCAGGCGTGGTCTGACCCAAGAGAAGACTCAGAGGCAGGCAAATTCGTGCCCTCAGGAGCTTCTCCCCAGGTGAAGGAGACAGTGCTCTGTAAGAGAAAGAAAATGCGATACTGAATATTAACCTCTTCAAGCCCTGCTCTGTGCCAACACGCTTATACTTGTGTTCTAACCTCACATTCACCACAATCCTGCTTTTGTTTGTTTGTTTTTTATCTTTTTGGGTCACACCGCACGATGCACAGGGGTTACTCCTGGCTCATGCACTCAGGAATTACTCTTGATGGTGTTCAGGGGACCATATGGGACACTGGAATCAAACCCGGGTCAGCCGCATGCAAGGTAAATGCCCTACCTGCTGTGCTATCGCTCCAGCCCCTTGTTGTTTCTTTGTTAGTTTGTTCTGGGGCCATACCCAGTAATGCTGAGGGTTACTCCTGGCTCTGCTCCTCAGGGGTAACTTCTGGTGGTGTTATTTGAGGACCATGTGGGATGCCAAGAATCAGATCCTGGTCAACCACATGCAAGGCAAGTGCTTACCCGCCTACCGCTGTACTGTCTCTCTGGCCCCCACACTCTCTGCCCCCACATTCCTATTCTTATTGTGTTCTTGATACAAAGAGCAAAACCTGAGTCCCAGAGATACAAAATCAGCCTCCTAGGGTCATCCACAAGCAGAAGGTTGGGGCGAGGATTCAAACTCAAGCTTTGCCTTAGAAAGATCACCTTGCCTGCAACCCCAGGACCCATAACATGGTAGGAACAGAGTGTATTGTAGGAATGCTGGGATAGGAGACTTTTGCTCAGGGTCTCCTATGGCACAGGTCAAGGCAGCCTCAGGGGAGAGTCATTCAAATAAGGGGGAGCTGACCTGGGATGGCAGGAATGTGCCACATGGGACGTGTTCTAGAAAAAGGGGTGGGGGTGGGGGTGGAGGGTGTGAAGAGGAAGGTTGAGAAAGGCTGTCCTGAAAGAGGTAACTTTGAGCATCTGTGAGTTTAGGGACGGAAGGGGGCAGAGGGGACAGGGATGAGCATAGACTCTGGAAATTAAAATGTCTCTCCTTGAGGCCAGGAGGGAGTTGGGCAAAGGAGGGAGCATTGGGAAGGAAGGGAAGGCCACCCGTCTCTCCCAGGCAGGGCCATTGGCCTGTTTCCTGAGTGTCCACTTGCATGCTGCCTCAGTTTCCCAGGATTCAGTCACTTTCCAGGCCCAGCACTAGTGGTAGGAGAGGGAGGAAGGGCTTGGGGAGGGGGGGCTGCCTGCCTTCCCTGCAGCCTCCTCTGTGTGTTTCCCAGCACCAGGGAAACAAAAGGCACAGGTCGTTGAATATTAAGCAGGTCCTTGGGGTGGGGGGCGGTGGGTTCCCACATGGGGACACATAAATGCACACCGAGGGATTGAGGGGGCAATCTGATTTTCTAAAGAATTGCATAATCCCTAGGTGATATTAAAATAGCTGATGAAGAACCCACTTTAATCTTTTTGGGTGGGTGTTGAAGGGCTGAAGAGTAGTGCTTAGATATTTCTGACAGAATCATTTACAAGAAACAGGCCAAGCACTGAGCTGCAAAACCCACCATCTCCTGCACCCCCGTGGGGCTTCGGCAGCTTCTTGGAGTGCACAGGGTGGCAGAGGGGCAACCCTAGCGGGAGGACTGTCCCATCCCAGCTCTCACCAGCAGCTCCCACAGATGTGGAGCTCCCTGCCTGAGGCAGGCAAAGGCGTCCCCATGAAATCCATCACTTCCTTCCCGGCTCTGAGTACTCCATGAAGCCAATCTCTTGGCATGACCTCATGTCCCGGCCTGGGCCTGCTCTTCAACCCTTGATTGAAACTCTGTGGGAAATAACCTTCTTTGTAGCTCTGCATGGACAGCTTCTTCTCAGCAAACCACATGTCTCAAAGCCTTGAGGATCTGCATTGTGTTTCTATTATCAGCCTCCTTCTGCCCAAGTGTTCAGGACAGAGAAGATAGCAAATATTTGCAACGATGCTAAATAACAACTTCTAATTCTTGCCTGAAGGTCTACAGATACTCTCTTCTGGGCATGCAGTCACTAATAATCCACTAATCTGTATGCTCTGAAGGTCTAGCAAGGTGCTTGGCAGACAATGCCTAGGCAACCTTCTTTGGAAGCTATCCCTCTTCCATCTTGGAAGAAAGCTTTCATTGTCTAAGTTGGTACCTGAAGGGTAAGCAGGCATTCAGCCAAGGAAGAGGAGGGGGTCTTGGGCAGGCTGAGAAAGAATCTTCTGGGCAAAGAGGCCAGCAGAAGCAAAGACCTGGAACGGAGTGAGGATGTACCCCCTCGTGACTGTGCACTGGAGCTGGCTTCAGAGTGACAGTGAAGGAATGGTCTGTCCAGGACAGAATCTAGGTCCCCTCCCACCAGAACAGGGCGGAAGAAGGCGAGCTAGGGAGCAGGTGGACACGTCTGTCAGGTTATGGCAGAGCTGCCAGTGTTTCCATGGTCTCACCAGCAGCTCCCACAGATCTGAGGCAGGCCAAGGCACCCCCATGGGACCTATCTCTTCCCTCCCAGCTCTGAGCATGCCATGAGGCCAATCTCTCAGCATGACCTCATGTCCGGCCTGGGTCTGGATGGTCTTTCTTCTTCTTCTTTTTTTTTCTTTTTGGGTCACACTCGGTGATGCACAGGGGTTACTCCTGGCTCTGCACTCAGGAATTACTCCTGGCGGTGCTCGGGGGACTATATGGGATGCTGGGAATCAAACCCGGGTCGGCCGCTAGCCAGGCAAATGCCCTACCCGCTGTGCTATTGCTCCTGCCCTTCGATGGACTTTCTGAAGAAGAAAATTATCTTCCAAGTGGGTGGGCTCGGGAGAGGAGATCCAGTGGAAATGGGAGACACCATTTCACGGTCCCACCTGCGACTGCTCGAGCTCTCTTTAGTTCCTGGCTGGAAGGGGACTGACTGGTGGATGTTACATCCTGTGGGAGGTAGAGAGAGAGCAGGACAGAGAGGGGGGATTCTTGGCAGAAAATGGCTGGGGTGTGGCTCCTCAGCCACAGAATTGAAGAGGGGCAGAGGCCAGTGCCCTGGGCGTCTCCTGGGGTTCCCCTGGTGTTGGAAGGGCAGCAGCCTGCGAACACTGTGACGAGGAGTGGGAGGCGGCCCATGGAGAAGCAGAGTCAGGTCGCATGGAAACAGACGAGGCCCACAAGTTGGGTCCCAAACGAGAAGAGAAAGCAGCCACCTGAAAGCAGCCAGCCAGTCGGGCAGACCAGGTATCAGTTGAAATCACAGACTCGGAGACAAAGTCAGAACTAAGGGCACCGCTGGGAGAACTAATGGGTCTGCTCGCCAATCCGACCCCGGTCCCCTACCCCTCTCCAGCAGAAGAGGACGCAGGAGGCTGGGAATGGGCAGGGGGAGAGGGAGGAGGAGACAGCTGGGGCCCTGGACCGGTCCAGACCCGGTCCCACCGCCTCCGCCCCGCCCCCAGCCCCCACTCACCGGGCAAGGTCGGTTCCGGTCAGACAGGAAGCACGTGGCCCCCCACCGATGCGGTTGCCCCGGAGACGGGGCTGTTTACCAGCGGGAATGAGCAGCCCGGAGCCTGCAGCGGATGGAGCAAGCGACCAGGTGAGAGCCGGTGAGAGCCCTGGCTAGGCCCCCCCACCCCACCCCCAGCTGAAGCTGCGCCCCCCCCCAGCCCGGCGCCCCGCGGGTCTTCCAGCCCGGGCCCCAGGGAGTTCCCTTGAAAGCTGGTCAGCCTTGGGAGAGTACTGACCACTCACCCAGCCAAAGCCCAGCCTGGTCAGAGCTCCCGGTTACTGGACTAGAACGACGACTCCCCCTCTCCAAACTGCCCTGAGAGCACTGGGCGCGGCCCCTCTGCTTGGGCCACACTGACCAGGACGAACTCAGGGGCACGGTAGGGTCCACCCATTCACACAGGAAGACCGGAACTAGTTCTAAGCCTCCCCCGGACCCACGCCGCCCTGTCACCTGGGTTTACTCTTCGCCTTCAAGAAACTCTTTCTTACTCCTCCTCCTCCTCCTAGCTTATTTCCTTCTAGAATGTTCTGTATTTGGAAATGATTAAAGCGATCCCGCTCCCCCGGAGCCCCTTCCCCCGCTGTTGGAATCGTTCCCACTCTCCCTCACAAACCTTTGCACTCAGTGACTTGTCCAGTTTCTCCACTCCCACTTTTTCTAATCATGAGTCCTGGGTTGGACAGGGACGAGGACCAACCTTTCCCAGTTCTCAGGCCAATTTCCAACTCCTGTTGGTTCTCCAGAGCCCTTTTTTTTTTTTTTTCATCCAGAAAGCTTCCCAAGGAGCTCGGATTGGCAGGGATAGGGATTAATGGATAAACATTTGAAAAAGACCAATTCAAATGTATGTGTCCTTGGTCTATACTGGCAGATGGTGGTGGGCGGTTTTATTTAGCTGCCTTTACTGTGGATTCCAAGTGATCTGACCCTTCGGGAAGCAGAAACATGACTTTAGCACCTATCCCATTTCTTGGTCCTACTTTCGAGCTCAGCTGCCCAATCTTACATAATGGGCACCTGCCCCATTGGCGACTCCCTGGAAACAGTGATCCGTGTTTGTTTCCTGGCTCCTAGCAGGCTTCTGAGGTGCAGCTCGCATGTTTAAGTAAACAGACCACTTGCCTATGCAGCTGGCAGCTTGATGGATGCCTACAGCTAGACCTTGTCAAATCACTTTGCGGTTGACAGCCTGCCAAACCCTAAGGTGGCGGAAGAGGCTGAGCAGAGATCCTGGAGGGTTATAAAGGCTGCAGAAGCCTTCCAGGAAGGGAAGCAGACAGAGTTCAGGACCCCACAGGAGGACCAGGGTGGTATGGCACCAATGGGCCTCAGGTCCCTAAACACCTGTGTCCTCCCCTTTCCTTGTCCAGTGGTCCTAGTAGGGGGAGTCTGCACTGAGCAGATGGTCCCCGCGCTCGGGCGGAGGCAGCGGGTTATGAAAGCAGGTTCCATGGAACGGTTTTACCTGAAGGAGGTGTTAGTCTCTAAATAACCGCGAGTGGGCTCTGAAGAATTAGTCATAATTGAGGTTTTCTCTGAGCGAGCTCGCAGTCATGTTATCTTATGACCAGGGTGTCTTGACTATGACACCCCGAGCATGGATAATTATAAAGCACCACAAGGTATGGAAAGTGCATGCACAGACTCCAGCGCGGAAGTTAAAAATAATCCCGCAGGGAGCCTGCGAGAACACATGACTTTTCCCATCAAAGTTGTTAAGGAAGAGGTTTCTAAGTTACCAAACTTACTGACAGTTAAGCCTTCCTGAGGCGTGTGTGGGAGGTGGAAGGCAAGCCTGGCATGATTCTGTAGAAACTGTGGCAAATTAATAGCCATTCTGCAAGGAGACTGGGAGGGGGGAGGGGCGGAGCTAGACTGGACCAGGGAGTGGGGTTGATTGATGAAGGGCGGGCGTGTGCCTTGGGCGGAACTGTGGGCCAGTTATGGTCTTCTCCAGTCATCCCGGGTTAAAGGGCAGAACTGCTTTAGGGAAAGTGACTTTAGAGCTCAACTCAAAAGGGGGGGGGAGATGCACAGAAACCCATATTCTGCACAATTGATCAGGATATAGATTACCATGGGGACGGCCAGGCTTTTTTCCCTATGAAGGAGAAGTCTCCTGAACTCCAGCAACCACATGGAGTGTGAAAGAGTGGTGTGTAAGGGGGCGGGGGGCGGGGTGGGGAGGGCCTAGTGTGGAGCGTGTGGGGAAGGGAGTGTTGCCCAGCCTCAGTGTCTCTTAGAGGACAGAGCTGATGGCTCCAGTTGCCCTCTGGACAGGGAGCCTGGCATTAATGAGTGTGAGGTAAATTAGTGAATGGGAGGTAAAATGGAAGGAACAGAGCAGGGCAGAAGAAAGGGGCTACGAGGAGGCTTTTATGGCACATTTTCTCCCCTTCCCTCATGCTGGAAGTGATGGACTGGGCTCCCGCCTTGGAGTATAGGCATTGAGGGTTGCACATCTGGGGCAGTGCTTACCCATGTGCTTGGTCAGGGTGGGTGACACTTTTCGGTTGCCATGCAAGGCCTGATTGTAGTGCTTGTGTGGTGCTCACACATGGTTGGGGATAGCACCCCTGATCAGATGCATTACAGCCTCTGTGCATCTTCAGTTATAATGCCCACAGAGCTTGTCACCTCAGCTGTGGGGCTCTTAGGGGTTGTCACTTTGACTGTAGGAATCTCAGCCAGGCTGTGGTGCTCTTAGAGGATGTTACTTTGCCTATGGTGCTCTCAGGGGTTGTCACTTTGGCTGTGGGAATCGCAGGGGTTTTCACCTCAGCTGTGGTACTCTCAGGGGCTTTCACCTCGGCTGTGGTGCTCTCAGGGGTTGTCACCTTGGCTGTGTTGCTCTCAGGGACTGTTCCTTTGGCTTCAGTGCTCTCAGGGATCATGTGCCTCTGTTGTGCTCTCAGAGTTTGTGCACCTCAGTGGTGGTGCTTGCACATACCTGGCTGTGGGCCAGAAACTGGAAGCACCACCAAGGACGTAGAACCACCAAGGACAAAGCTGGGAAAGGCTTGGAAACTTTGGGACCTGAATCATAAAAAGGAATTTAAACAGACAGGAAAACTAAAGCACAAAACATGATAAAGCACAATAAAATTCACCATTTTTACTTAGCACCAAGCCTGGTGCTTATGGCCTTTCCTTGAGGAATTCACTTCACCATCTTCATGTTAGAGAGACTGGTTTGGAGACAATTAATTCCTGTCTTCAAGGTCCTAGAACTAATTTTCTAACAATGAAGAAATTTATTTTCCAGAAAAGTAGGATGATTACTCCCAGTCACACACACAACTAAGTGTATGAGAGAGGCCATGTCTTGTCTCTCTAAATAAAGTTTTATTGGAACACAGCAACCACACTCTATTTAGAAGCCATTTCTGACAGCATCACATCCTATATCCTTTATACCCAAACTTGCTGCCTCATGAAGAACACAAGGCATTGGGAATGGCTAGGAAGTGTGTGGGGGATAAGAAGGGGCAGACCTGGCCAGCCCTAGGCAGAGAGAGCAGCGGTCCCAGGGCGCAGGATTCCGAGAAACCACTGAGACTGTGCTGTGTCCTGAGAGAACTCACTGAGCACTGAGAGGAGGAGGTGGGGGGTGACTGTGCTGGTGAAGGTGCTACTAAGACACCATGAACAGGAAGAAGATGTGGTCGGGCAGTTCTGGGACTGCAGGGAGCAGCGCGCTGCCTGCCTGTGCTTCAGAACTTTACTTCAGCAGGCTTGTCCCACACCCAGGAACCAGCCTGGCAGACGCAGACACATGGCTAGCAGGGTGGTGGGGCGGACAGGTGGGAACAACCAACAGAGACAGAGAAGAGATGCCCTGGGATATGGGCCCCTTGGACATGGGTCTGGGACAGGGTCTGTGGGTCACGCCCACAGACCTAATCTAAAACCCATTTACCGGGGCTGGAGCGAAAGCACAGCAGGTAGGGCATTTGCCTTGCATGTGGCTAATCTGGGTTCGATTCCCAGCATCCATATGGTCCCCTGGGGAACTGCCAGGCGTTCCTCAGTGCAGAGTCAGGAGTAACCCCTGTGCATCGGCAGGTGTGACCCAAAAAGCAAATAATAATAATAATAATAATAATAATAAAACCACTTACCTACCTCCATCCCCACCCCCATTTTGGTGGGGTCAGCTAAGACTCATTTTATATTTTGAAGTGGTTGTGGGAGAAAAAAACAACAATAAAGGATTTCGTGTCGTGTGAAAATCATATGAAATTTAAAATTGGGGGTCTGTAAGAGAAGCTCAGTTCCATGAGACACAGACACACCCTTGCTTTTGCGTTGTCTCTGGTGGCTTTGCCTAGGTGGGCACAGGAGGTAGACATCCCCGCAAGTGCTTTACTTTCTCGCCCTGGGCAAACAAGCTTGTGAGATACCAGGAAGAAAGTGTGTCCATGACCCCGAAGAGAAGCTATCGGCCTCCCACTAGCTCTCCAGCAGGTCCTGAGCCTGGGTTCCTGCTGACTGACTCAGCAAGGTGACTTTGGGTGCCAAGAGCACAGACAACTACAGGCTCACCAAATCAGACCACTGCATCCCCCTCCCCCAGGGACAGACAGACGATGTCTGGTCTCTGTCCCACATGTGTGGGATGGGCCAAGACTCCCCACAAATAGGATCCTGCTGTACCCTGGGACCCAACACCCCAAATCTTCCCTGCCTCAGGAATTTCCTCTGTTTTTCCTTCATCTGTGTACACTTTCCCTAACACCAACCTGATCAAGGGTTGAAGCGGGGGCAACCCAAAGCTGGCTCACTTACTCTCTAAATAAAGTTTTATTGGAACTCTGCAACCACAATCTATTTGCAAATGGATCAGAGCTGATTCTGTGTTTCAGTGACAGGGTTGAATAGCTGGAACAGAGACCATGTGGCACACAGCTTGACAAATATTTTCAGAAAAATCATCCTCTGCTTTAGATTGTCACATAGCTTGTTCCAGTTCTTCGTTTGGGCTCCTTAGCTGAGACTCTCCCACCCATAGACTTTTCTGGTGCAAGACTTTATTTCACTGGCTCAGAGTGGTTAATACTCTTCTAAAAAACCCATTTACTTTTGGGGTTAACACCTGTCTTTCCTCATTATGATAAGTTGCAAGGACTTTGGTTCACTGATGGAGTCTAGGTTCCTGAAAAGAATGAATGAATTCCTTGCTGCTGATTCACTGACATATTCCAGGTTCCTGAAATGAATGAATGGATGATTGAATGTCTTGCCGCGGGAGTGCTTTTCCAGATGCCAGGAATCCAGGGAGGGTGCCCCTGCTCTAACTCCATCGCTGGCACCCGGAGGCTAAGGGCTCGGGCCTTGGAATCCGGGAAGTTTCACCTCTCTTTTCTCATGCCTCCTTAGGGGTCTTGAAAAGCAATGGCCACAGAAGCCCCTGTGAACAGAGCCCCCGGTGATCGCAACTCTGTTGTCCTCAGCACCACTGACAGTTACACTTGGCATCAGAACTCACTAAATATGCACGTCATCAGGCCCAAGTCTGCCAAGGGGCGAACTCGGCCAAGCCTGCACAGGCCCCCCAGCTCAGGGGTGTGTGCTCAGGGCTCCCCATCTTCTCCACCCTCAGCTATTCCCTGTGAGACATCACCGAACAGCCAGAAGCCCAGAGCCTGCACCCCGAAGTCTCTGCCCCAGGGAACTCCTGATGAAATCCCTGAGCTGCTGCAGCAGCAGGTCCCTATTGGGGCCGCCTCCTCCCTCAATAAGTATCCAGTCCTCCCATCCATCAACAGGAGGACCCCGGAGGAGGAGGAGGAGGAGGTGGTGGAAACCATAGCCAAGAAGGCAGGGTCACTGCAACTGGGCAGCCCCTGGGCTCTCTACCACGAGGAGCCTCATACCCTGAAGACCAGTGAGGGAGACCTCAGGGCTCAAGGAAGTTGTTCCCTGGAAGGGAAATCTGTGCCTCGGTCCCAGAAACAAACTGGGGACATGGAGGAACCATCTGATCTCGAGCCCAGGCTGCTGCTTGCCATCCGATCACCATCTGGCCGAAGGTTCGTGCGTCACTTCCGGCCCACCGATAACTTGCAGACGGTGCTGGCTGTGGCCGAACACAGGAACGGGACCACCTACCAACACTGCAGCATCGAGACCCTAGAGGTGCCCAGGAGGCGCTTCTTTGACCTCACCAAGTCCCTGCAAGAGTGCAGAATCCTCCACAAGTCGGTGCTCGGCATCTCGCAGCAGCACAGGGAGGGGTGGCCCTGAGTCCTCCGCCCGTACACGGCATCCTGGGTCTCTGAGGAGAGGATGTCCTGGGGCCCCATGGCCTCGCCAAGCAGCTGAGTTGCAAGTGCCACTTGAACCAGGTGCTGCTGTGGTTCATGGGACTGCCCCCTTCAGAGCTCCTGGTTGAAGCATCGACATTTCTCACATCCTCTCCCTGGGGGCAGGGGTGCAGGTCTCTCCTCTGCTGCAGTGGCTCAGAGGTTCTGCATTGGCCTGGCCACACTGCCTCCTTTGCAGAGTTTGGGGTCTTTGCTTATCTTCACCTTGAGCTCTCGCTGGCTTGAGGCGGGCGATTTGTCTTGGTGTCTTTGGTGCAGGATGAAACACTTCCTAGAGAGACTCTGGTCTGAGGGGTCAGCAGGGCTTGGGAAGCCTGCATCTGGCTCTTCCATTTCTTATGAAGAGCGTCATTAAGGAAAGGCACTGTTGGTCCCTGTCTAGGAGGCAGGCCCCCTTGTGGACTGGAGTGGTAGGGTTTCAAGGCAAGGCCTCTGCATACGTGAGGTGACTTCAGGGGAAAGAACAGACCTCTGCTTAGGTGAACCCCCAACCCCTCCCCCCCAGCATTTCCCAGACCCCTGGGAGCTAGCGACCCCTTGTTACTCCTGCAGTCTGGCTTGGCCAGGAGCTACCAAATACACACCATCAGGTCATAACTTCGGGCAGATGTTGCATGCAAAAATCCTGCTGCAGTGCAATGTGACTTCCTCTGCTTTTGTACGTAATGGAATCTCTGGATTCCAAACCATATGAATCTAAATTTTCCTAAAGGGCCCTGGCTTACCTGGTTGCAGATATCTGTTTTGCAACCCAACTTCTCTGGGATCTCTCGAAGGAGGCTGCCCCCCCCCCACCCCCATCCCCCGGCTGGCTGAACCAGTAGTCACGTTGCTGTGTTGGCCTGTCCCTGAAGGTGGTGGGGGGAGGGGCGTGCTGACTGATTGACTGACAGTGCATCCAGATGCCTTGGCCACCCACCACCATGGCTAGGTCAGAGTCCACAAAGGCTGGTTTTTCCAACGCACAAAAGGTAACCTATACAGTTTGCCAAAGTTTTCTTGTGTTAGAATTTTGATGAGACTCTCCTGTCTCATTTGAATTTTCTGATGAAGTCCCCCTTCAGAGTCAGGAGCAACCCCCTACCCCCACCTCCCAACACACACCCAAGGAGCTTGGCCATTATGAAGTCCTGAGAATTGAACTGCACCCTGCTTCCTAGGTATTCAGAGCTAGCAAGAGTTCTAGTAGCATGTTAGGACTGCTCCCCCAGCAACAAATGCGCCTGGTGCATACATAGGGAACGTAATGAGAAATGTTACTTGCAGCCGATCAATGCTTAGTTGTGGATATTGGCACCCTGGTGCTTTGCTTGGACACAGGTGTGCCTTATTCTCACCAGGTCCCACATCAACCAGACCAGTCTAGGACAGTTTCTTTCTAAAGGTTTTGCTGGAATATCTTAACACCTTTCTGACGGGTGGGTCACACAACAGACCGCCTCTCTTGTCTTTGGCAGAGGGGACTGGTGGCAGGAGCTGGGCCTCATGGTGTAGGAGTCCCCCCTCCCACCTGGGACTCCAGCACAGGACCCTGACCCCATGGGAGGCTGGAGAAAGAGTCTCCCTCAAAAGCACACCTACTCTATATGGTAAGAATAAAATCCCACCCACCTGGGACCGGGTCATTTCTCTAGGCAAGCAGCCTAGGGAACTTCAGCGAAATGGGCAATGCTTGAAGGCATTCAGTTTTTCTACACCTGGGGGGTTTGCTCCTGCTATTTAGCATAGAACTTGGGGTGAAAAATAGTGGAGGGCAAGCAGCATAGAAGAATGATAAGACTATTGTAGATATGTGACTAATGCTAACTTTGAACCATCTTGATAAACTTTTTTTTTTTGCTTTTGGACAAAAGATGATGATACCAATAATAAAATCTGATTGTGTGAAGCCGAGTCGGTGGAGAAGGGCATCTTGTGATCAGGACTGGGAGGGTCACTCACGGATGGAGGCGTTCTGTCACCTGAGCCTCCTGTTCCTCCATGAGCACTTGTCACTGCTGCTGTGTCTGAGTCCTCTTTTTCAGACCCCCCAGATGCCCACTCTTCCCATAACTGCCTTTACTTCCTCCTAACCTTACCCTAGGGGAAGAGTTTCCTAAGTGTCTCCTAAGTGTCATTACCTATATTCTTTTTTTGAGGTTGGCCTAGCCCTCTCACAATGACAGAGTCTTTGATAGTTCTTCCAGTTAGATCCCTTGGTCTGGTGGGCTAAATTGGGAAAACCACTCTTGGTGGCCCTAGATGAGATCATCTTTGTCTGTTTTGGAGTCACAGACCTTGGTTATCACTTAACCAGTCGTCACCGAGGGCTTATTGTGTCACATCTGGCTAGACATTGATCTTGCAACAAAAGTGTTAGCAATGAAATCCAGGCCTCTAAACTCAAACACACCAGCAGTCAGTGGCTGCAGCGTTAAGCTGATAGGAGGCTTAGGCTAGACCACTGCGCTGTTTTCTCTCCCAGGCTGCGCAAATGCATAGGAAAGCCTGATGGCACCAGAGAGATGGCTCCTTGCAATATTAACTTCGCACAGAGCAAAGCTTCCTGATGAGCTTTTCCAGCATGCCCCCTCCCCCTCACCCCTGATCAAGTCCAATAGGTAAATCTGGCCTGGCAGCAGAAGGAACAGCAGGATAAATAAGTGATTCATCATTGAGAATCTAAAAAATATTTCACCGACAGATGGCAGGTGGTTTTAAGACAACAGTCTTTGCCCTGAAAGCACCTGGGGATTCAGCCAACAGCTGTCAAACCAGGACAGTCCTATGTGAGTGAGACGGTAGGCCAGAGTCACCCCAGAGCACCTGAATAAAGTGCTTCACAGACAGCAAGCCAGACCAGCCCCGAGCTCATCCAATCCAATTAAAAACCTTAAAGACCAGCTCACTGTTGCTATAGAATTGTAACTTTTTTTTTCATTCCTTCTATTGGCCATTTTAAATGGGTTCCTAATATTAAGGCCATACTGCCCCAGGCCCCACCCCCCAAAAATAATGCTCTCTACACATTTTTTAGGGTCTTCATAATAAGTGGAGAAAAAAGGATACCCAGTTTTCTATCATTTGGGTCTATTTTAGATGAGCAAGTTTAATGAAAAGAAGCTTGTTTTTCTCTCAAAGCATTGCAGAGGAAACCAAATTATTTTACTCGTGTTCATTTGAAAATCATTCCAAAAATTTATCAGGACCATTCATTTTCTTAATCCCCTAAAGTGACACACCACAATTAAGAACTCTCCTCTAGGGACTAAAGAAATAGAATAGTGGGCAGGGTGCTTACCTTGCACACAGCTGACCCAGGTTCAATCCTCAGCATCCCCTACAGTCCTCTGAGCACCACCAGGAGTGATCTTTGAGTACAGAGTCAGGTGTCAGCCCTGAGAACTGCTGGGTATGCTCCACAAACCAAATAAAACTCTTGCCTATTTACCCTTGGACCCACAACCAGAACCAACCCAAACCCATAAGCAGAACATACTTGGGGCACTGACAGACGAGTTAACCATTCAAATGGAGCAGACAGGGCGTCTCACTAACACAAAAGACAAGTTCACATTACAGAAAATGGGGTGTTTCGTTTTGAGTCTACGCAGGTAATGTGACATTTCCCTTTCCTGATCAGTGCAGTTTCTACCAGCCTCTCCCGACATCCCTCTGTGTTGTTCTGCTTTCAAACAATTTAGAAGCAGTGGTACTCCTGAGCAATCGTGTGCAAGAACAAATCTCTGCAGCTATTTTGGGGCACGGTTAGATCTATCTTGACCAAGAGGTTGAGCAATTGATGTAACATCTACCCAGGGGCCCCTATTAGGCCTTATTCTGATGGTCCTTCTCAGAGGCGCCCTCTGGCATTGTGAGAGTAGCTGTGGGGGCCAGAGTAAGAGATGGGGACACAGCTGTGGGGGGTTGACAGTAACCAGGAGATGGAGGAAGGAGACTAGGGCCTACCTGCTGACCATTGTATGTTCAAATCCTGAGCATACAATCAATTTTTTTTTTTTTTTGCTTTTTGGCTCACACCCAGCGATGATCAGGGATTACTCCTGACTTTGCACTTAGGAATTTTTCCTGGTGGTGCTCAGGGGACCATATGGGATGCTAGGAATCAAACCCAGGTCGGCCGCAGGCAAAGCAAATGCCCTACCCACTGTACTATTGCTCCAGCCCCAATCAATTTTCTTAAAGAGGGAAAGGGCTGCATAGTTTAATGGGTTAGGATTGACCCAAGTGGAAATAGTTTAACCATATCGTCGTGTGGACTGTTGCAGCAAAAACTAGCAACCAATCAACAAGCCCATACCACCCACAAGACAAGTCCATGGTAGCTAGGAAGAGCATGACCTGTCAGCAATGTCTATAGGCAGGAACTTCTCTTGGACAAAATGGGGGCCGGAGGGGAATGACCCCAAATCCCCAAGTATTAGCTGCTTTCAAGAAGAGATGAAACTTAAGTCACAATTTTAGGTCAGAGAGATGGTGTAAGGTGTTGAGTAAGTTGTATCCTGAGCACCACTAGGGTCCCTCCTGAGCACAGAGCCAAAATTAGGCCCTGAGTATCCCTGGGTCAGAAGAAAGAAAAAGAGAAAGAGAAATAAGGAAGGAAGGAAGGAAGGAAGGAAGGAAGGAAGGAAGGAAGGAAGGAAGGAAGGGAAAGGAAAGAGAAAGCAAGTAAAAGGAGAGAAGAAAAGAGAGAGAGAAAGAAAAAGAAAGAAAGAAAGAAAGAAAGAAAAAGGAAAGAGAAAGAAAGAAAGAAAGAAAGAAAGAAAGAAAGAAAGAAAGAAAGGAAAGAAAGAAGGAAGGAATAAAGGCAGGCAGGCAAAAGAAAAAGAAAAAGGGAGGGAGGGAGGGAGGGAAGGAAGGAAGGAAGGAAGGAAGGAAGGAAGGAAGGAAGGAAGGAAGGGAAGGAGGAAGGGAGGGAGGGGGAGGGAGGGGAGGGAGGAAGAAAGGAAGAGAGAAAGGAACGGAGGAAGGAAAGAAGGAAAGATGAAAGGAAGGAAAGAAGGAAAGAGTAAAGGCTACAATTCTACTTGATATCTAGGTAAACAAAAGCAATTACCAGTTCCATTCTTCATGTAAAATTTTTGATCAAGGTTGCTTAATTAGCAACTCCTGTTCTGAGACAAGTCACATTGA